ATATATATATATATATATATATATATATTTCTTGAACCCTTCATACATTTAATTCCTCGCCGTTCACTTGAACTCCCTTCAAAATATAAGACTTCATGAGCTGACGGGAGTAAAAGAGGTGTAGTAGAAAACTCATTTTGATGTTACAACTTATTGGTATTTTTCCTCAAAATAAGGAAAATAAATCATCTATTCCTTCTTCTTTCTCCAAATTTCATTTCTCCTCTTTATTAAATTCTACATCTCTGCTCATAATAATACGGCTTGTGTTCTTTAGAAATTGCATCATAGCCAACAAACACATACTTCACACACCTATCATGAAGCTTAGATCTTCCTTGGTTGGGCATATGAGCATATGCAATGCTCCCGAAAACTCTAAGATGGCTTCACCTAATTAACTCCGCCATTCACTATCCGTTATTTCCCATATTCACCATGGTCATGGTGCTTATGGTGAAAGTCCTCTTCATCCTTTTTTTTTTCTCATCTTTTCTCTTGTGAAGCTTAATTATAAGTTACAAACAAACAACTATTGTGAGCCTTCTTAGGCCACCAGCCTCGTCAGTGAACTAAACCATGGTGAAATGAGCTCTAGAAAGTTTTCCAATAAACAAATCTGGTGACCCATAAGAGTTCTTTTTATTTTTCTTCCTTCCATTTCTTTCTTTTTCTTTGTTTTTTCATCTCTTTTTCATTTTTTCATATGTTCGTCATCATCATCTCTCTCTCTCCCTCCCTCTCTCTTATTCTATGTGACTATTCTTGTTCTTCATTGGTTTAATTTTTTTCTTTGTTTTTCAAAATTTTGAAATTTAGTTATTTGTATTTTAGAATTTCATTATCATATTCTATTACGTTGTTTTCTATATTAAACCTATAATGTTGTTCCTAATTCTGTTTCACTTATAGTACAATGTTAAGTAGTAAGCCCGACCTCATTAATACACTTTTAATATCGATTGCAACCCTAAAAAATTTAGTCCATTTAGGATGTGGGATTTTTGGCTTGGACTGTTCAGTTTACAGTTTAAACAGATTTAACTGTGGGTATACAATAAGATGACCCACAAACTTTTTTCACCAAATATATTTTTTTTTATAAAATAAATTGACCAAGTGTCAGCAAATAATTTTGTTATTATTTTTTGTCAACATGTATGATGGTGAAAAATCAAGTATATTGTATGTTGGTTCATGGATATACATGGTAACACAACATTGCCTTAGTTTGATATCAAGCAAGGATTGCTCAATTCATGTTGAGTTGGTTTGGGGTTTTGAACAACCTTAAATTTTAATTAGAATATTCATAAATTGCAATACTAGGAAATATATCGCATCAAGCTACCTGGTCCTCCAACAGTCATCGGTGAAGGGAAACCTGAAAACCAAAATCATGCCATTATATTTACTCGTGGAGAAGCCTTGCAGACTAGAGACATGAATCAGGTAACTTTTCCTTCAACTTAATTTTAATATTAATTTAAGAAGTACTTTTTGTATAAATCAATGCTCAAATAATTTTCTTTTTGGTTAAGGAAAACTATTACGAAGAATCTTTCAAAATGAGAAATGTATTGGAAGAATTCCGAAAAGAACACAGTGGGCAGCGAAAACCCACCATTTTGGGTATAAGGGAGCATTTATTTACTGGAAGGTTTGCCTTGTGATAATATCTAGTATTAAATTTTGTTTCGTAAATTAATTTCATGACCAATAAAATAAATATTTCTATCACATATTAAACTTGAATCGGCATAAGTTTACTTGTTTTCCTTGTTTCGCAGTGTTTCTTCACTTGCATGGTTTAGGTTAAACCAAGAGAATAGTTTTGTGACCATTGGTCAACGAATTTTGGCAAATCCTTTAAGGTTAGTACCACTTGTTTGTTCTGTGCTGCTGCATGTTAGTCTTATTAAAATTCCCTTGAGTTTTTCATCCTATTTTCACACAATTTTCAACTCCAACCTTGTTTTCCTCTGGGAATATTTGTCCTTAATTGCAATCACCCCTCTCAACATTAATTGTGGTTTGTTAAGAACATCTTCATGTGCTGGGTTAGATATTGTTTATTTAGATTTATATAATCCTTTTAAAACATGGACAATCCTCACTGTTAACAACTCAGCAAGTATACCGATTTAACAAGTAATAAACTAAAAGTAAACAAATTATTGTCTCCACAAATTGTAGTTTAATAACAATTTGACCAATCAATTATTCATTTGATTTAACAATTAAGAAACAACTATAAATTTTGGGTTTCTAGTTTAATTAACTAAATGATAAAGAATGCAATAACATGATATTTTAAAGATTCAATGGTTTAAAATAGTTATATTTCATAATCCTGTTATTTCTGTAAGGCAATCACTTTCTCTTCTAAACTTGTTTCTGATAAATAATTTTCCTTTTTTTTAAGTCCATGAACATGGTAATGCAGTATTCTAAATCGGACAATTAAAGACTTATTTATACTCACAAGACATGACTTTTGTTATAGCCTAACATTATTTTAACACAAACAACAATTGAACCTAGGAGCAATAAATCCTTTGTTTCTAACCTTGCACACAAATGCCCTAGAGAAACAAAATTAGTTGTAAACATTAAGAAAAGGAAGTTCACATGACATATAGTTTATTCCTATCGCTGGGCGCTCAAGAGTTGTAAGGTTATTAAACTTGAACAATTTAAACCACAATCTTCCAATTTCATGTTTTAAATTAGGAATCAATTTTTAATTAGTTTCAATCATAAAAAAACAGTAAGCATAATTTTAATAACTATATTGCATTAACAATAATAAAATTTAAAGGGAAAGCGAATTACAAGAAGTTTCAACCAAGGTTCACCCTAGTTTAACCAAACTAGGGTTTAGAAACTCATAGGATTTCTAAGAAATATTTTTATCAAATCAATTAGGATATTAAGTCAATGAATCAGAAATTAAATTGATGGGTCACTAATTAAATTATATGACTTAGTCTCTATTAAATTTAAAAAAAATATTCATGTCATATATATTTTATATCTATAAATTTCAACAGCTATCTTATTCCTATACTCCGATGAAATATCCATAACCAAGCAATCATAAGCATACTTCTCATCAATGAGAAAATACATGCTTTTTCATTTGAAAGCTGTTGTGTACTTGATATATAGTGAATTTTATGTCTTTGCTTCACAACAATGACCAAGACAAAAACATAACACTATCCAAAATCTTTTGTTCATCGAAAAGTTCACCTTTGGAGATGCATGAATTTCTGTGATTTCAAATACTCCTCATAATAGCACACCAACAGATCTTCCAAACCTCATAATCTTGATATTTAGAGCTACCCAAGACATAATGTTGCCAAAAATTTGTTTGTGTCCAAGGAAAAAATAGATTCAATTTCCAGCCAAGAATACTACTATTGCCAAACCCGGAAAAAAAGGAACAAGAGAAAAGAAAAAAGAAAAAAAAATGTGTAGCAGATTCTTCATGTTGAGCGCAAAAAGGGCATGTTATATTTTTTTGCTTCATGTTGAATATTTTTCTTTCTTAAGTTTTTATTTAATGGGATCCTATCCAACCAAAACATCAAACAAAACACATGATTTTAGGAGGTATCTTTATCCACCACAAGAGCAAAAGGAGTTGTTACTGAGATTCCTATTCAAATTCAAAATCATATTATATCCTTTACTTATTTTTTTTAAATAAAAGCTTTTAACATGCAAAAAATCATTATAGGATCAAGTCATCCTAACGACATTAGCATCCCAAGATCTATCCATCATTTGTAACATACCAAAATATATATAAAAATAAGCAAAAAGGAACAATAAACATGGGGGATGTAGACCAAAATCCATGTACAACTCAACAAAATCTAAACAAAGGTAATTCACTCCGATTACAAAAAAAAAGGCTCCCTAATAAAGAAAGGCATAACATCCCATCATAAAAAGATCTAGAAACAAGTCTAAAACTAGCTAATTCATCAGCACATTGATTGTGAGAAAAAGCAAGATGCATTTGTGAATAAAGAATTAAACAATGATTCCATCTATTACGGAAATCCCAAGGGACCAAACTGACATTAGAAAAATCTTTCAAAGTAAACTATGAATCACTTTCCAACCATGATATATACCAACTATTAGTTTATGAATTATCAAATAGTAAAAACTTATTTGATTGGAAGAAAGAATGGGGAGACAAATTTATAATGATAGGCTTAGTTGAGAGGAAAACTAGCTTACAAGAATAGTTGAAATAGATTTGAGTAGTGAAAATGACTTACTAGTTGCTTGAATACAAATGTTGATTACATGGCCTATTTATAAGCCTCAACACCACCATTCATGTTTTATGTAGAAGATTCTAGAGATATCTATTCTAGAATTTTCTATCTATTCATAATTGTCTACGTGATTCTAAAATTTGTATCATCTAGTAGTTACTAACATATACCTATGTATTTTTCTAGAATAATCTAGCTTATTCTAGAAGTTTGTATCACATTTTAACACCAACCAACTTAGTGAACATATTCAATTGCTATCATTATATGCTTAACTTACATAGTATGATCTAGTATGATGAAAACTCCGCTTCCAAAATTCCACCACCGTATAGGTAGGCTTAGGCTTTACATTTTCCAATTTCAAAACCAAATTCTCAAGATCATTTTCCCATTGAAATAAACTCCTCCAATTGAAATGCTATTTCAAGTCATTATTCCCCCAATACCCCATATTGTGAATCACTTTAAGTTGTAGTGACATCAAGAACAACCTTTAATCTAGGCATGAATGTGTGTGTACGTTGGAAAGTTGCCTTAAATGTTCTCACCCATGGCTTGCTTTAATCTAGTTCTCTATGGAGCACCTTCGTTATGTTCCGTGCTAGGGTGGTTTGTTTTGACCAACATCAATTAAAGATATATATAACTTATAAATCTTGGGCTTGAAACTTCAATAAAGCATAAACTCATCACTAATTTGTTTTGCAATTGAATGTATTACAAGAATAGCATATGCCTAGTTTTATTATTTATGCATTAAAACGTTTCCCCTACTTCAGTTAAGTAATCAATGTTCATGAATTTGCAGGGTCCGATTTCATTATGGTCATTCTGATATATTTGACAGAATCTTCCACATTACAAGAGGTGGCATAAGTAAAGCATCAAAACTTATAAACTTAAATGATGATATATTTGCAGGTATTATACGATCGAGGAGAAAATGATATCTAACCGATCTAACTTTTCTACTCGTTATGCTTAACATTCATACAATTCAATTCAAATTTATACATACAATAGATTTATGTGGGTCGGAATATTTTTACTAATTGTGCTTCCCATGCATAGGGTTCAATTCAATTCTACGTCAAGGATTTATCACACATCATGAATATATACAAGTTGGTAAAGGGAATGATACAAGCATGAATCAAATATCAGTATTTGAGGCTAAGGTTGCAAGTGGAAATGGAGAACAAACACTTAGTCGTGATGTTTATCGACTTGCCCAACGATTTGACTTCTATAGGATGTTGTCATTCTACTTCACAACAGTTGGTTTATACTTTAGTAGCATGGTAATTACTCAAATCTTATTTTGGGATCTTATCTTAATAGAGAGCACAAGTTGTGTGAAACATAAGAAATGTAGTTATAAAATAACTTCTAAAAAGAATGAAAGAAGCAATAAATCAAGCAAATCGGAGACTTAGGATAATATATTATACATCATGGAAATAGAATAGACTGTGTTGAAAAGAAAATAGTCACATTGTTTATACTCATAGTCTCCAATAGAGATTAATTATTATATTTAATACCAATAAGATATAACCAACATTAATGTGTGGATGGTTTTTTAACACTTGGAGGCTAAATTCCTTCAAAAATTCATTTGTCACCAGATTGGTCTTTCACAAGGACAAATATAATGGCATTTTGAATCCTTGAGGAAGTAATTTTGTGACATAATCTTTGGAGGACTAATATGGCGGCAATTTAAAATTTTGAAAGACTAATTTGGTGGCTAATATTTGTGAAGGACTAACATGGTCATGTATGTAACTTTGAAGAACCAAATTGGGTGTTTTCTCTTCAGTTTTATTCAGGCTCATTTTAGATTGTGTTAACTAACTTCTTGAAAATAGAGTATAGACAAAATGTATATCTTCTATCAAAATCACATTGCTTAATCTGGTGTTAGATTGTGATTTTTTATTTGACTATATAATGAAATATTTGAAAAGTAAAATGGAATACAACCCTAGATATAACTAGATGCCTAAATATAAAGCATGTGACTCCACTTTTGTTGTATAAAATGGACTTATTATGAATTTTTCAGGTAACTGTGTTGACTGTGTATTTGTTCTTATATGGACGTTTATATATGGTTTTGAGTGGAGTTGAGAGAGAAATTCTTGAACGTACAAACACACATCAGAGCAAAGCCCTTGAAGAGGCATTGACAATTCAGTCTCTTGTTCAGTCAGGCTTACTGCTTATGCTGCCAATGGTTATGGAAATTGGCTTGGAGAAGGGATTTCGCTCTGCCTTGATTGATTTTTTCTTCATGCAGCTGCAGCTAGCTTCTGTGTTCTTTACTTTCCAGCTAGGAACAAGAGCTCATTATTATGGAAGAACACTCTTGCATGGAGGCACTAAGTATAGACCAATTGGTCGTGGATTTGTTCCCTTCCATGTGAAGTTTGCTGATAACTACAGGTTGTATTCACGAAGTCATTTTGTGAAGGGCCTAGAGATTCTCATACTAGTGATTGTTTATCAAGTCTATGGGGAATCATATCGCAGCTCGCAACTTCATCTATTCATAACAGTATCAATGTGGTTTTTGGCCACTTCCTGGTTGTTTGCTCCTTTCCTTTTTAATGCTTCTGGCTTTGATTGGGTAAAAACAGTGGACGATTGGAGAGATTGGAAGCAATGGTTGGGATATCGTGGTGGTTTAGGTATTGCATCTGATAAAAGCTGGGAATCTTGGTGGGATGAAGAAAATGAACACTTGAAATACTCAAATATCAGGGGGAAAATAATTGAGATAATTCTTGCATTTCGCTTCTTTCTATACCAATATGGAATTGTCTACCACATGGATATTACTCATCATAACAAACATTTGCTGGTAGAGTACCTCATTTTTAGTATTCTTCAATCCTATTAATGGTTGCAAGTTCTATTGGCACCATCTTATGACTACCTTTGGTTTTTCCTTGTAGGTATTTGGAATTTCTTGGGCAGTTTTAATAATAACACTCATGGATTTGAAGGTACGTATAGGCAAATGCTATCTGGGGATCAAGAGTGACTTCCCATCAAACAATTATTGTCTCAATTTAAGCTCTTTTTTTTGTGTAAAAGTAATAATAACATAAGTGAATTTTTGCTTCTAGTTTAAATTTTAGACATAAAACATTACTTTTTAAGCAAGCAAGGGGAACTTTTAGACCATTGTAGCCATTGTAGAGCTAAAATTAGTTCACATTTCTGGAATACTAGTGCGTTTGGCTTCTGATTTCTGTAAAATAACATATGACCATATCAGATGCTATCCATGGGAAGACGAAGATTTGGCACCGACTTTCAGCTCATGTTTCGTATTCTCAAGGCACTTAACCATCTTGGCATCTTGATAGTCATGACTCTATTATTTTTGATATTTGAACTTACCATATCAGATTTTTTTGCTGCCATTATTGCCTTCATGCCCTCTGGATGGGCCATTATTCAGGTATGTTAGAACTTTTGTATCATAGAAAAGCACTTGTTAAAAAGTAATTTTTACACTTCTTGTCAACATGTTTATGTCCGACTTGTCGTGGAGTATGTTTGAATACAGGTTAAAAGTTTTTTTTTAAGAGTTTTTCTGTTAAAATATACTCTTTATTCTTTGAAGAAACTCTCAAGAACGTTTCTAACTTGAATCTAAATAGATTGTTAAGTATATTAAAGAAATTAATATTGGTATATATTCTAGTTACCATCCTACAGAATTTTCTATGTAAGTACTTCATCCATCCAAAAATGCTGATGTTCCTTCTTTCGTTTGTATTCAAGATTACACAAGCATGCTCGGTATGCTTGGAAGGAACTAGACTATGGGTATCGGTGAAAGAGCTATCCAGAGCTTATGAATATGTAATGGGATTAGTAATCTTCATGCCAATATTCATTTTGTCATGGTTCCCATTTATATCAGAGTTCCAAACCCGTTTGCTATTCAGTCAAGCGTTTAATAGAGGGCTCCAAATTTCAGTGATTCTTGGAGGAAAGAAGAACAATTATAAACCTGATTGACATATTGATGAATTTCCAAGGTAATCTAGCATGTACAATACATAAATTAAAGGTTATTTTTGTACCATTCATAAAATTATGAAAGTGGTTTTTTTATTATTATTTTGTCATTGATGCCATAGTTTTCCAATTATTGGCAAGAATTTGAAGATCAGTTTGAGGAGAAAGTGATCTCCCAAATATAAGAAATTTTTGGGAACTCATATGATTAATGACTTGTTTGAATACAAGGGAGAATTTTTTTTATTAGAAAATACTTTTTATTTTTAATAGAAAATTTTTTAATTTGTAGTTAAATAGACTTAATTTTCTTTTACTTTTCATAATAAATTTTAGTGTAAAAAATGAATATCCGAATAGTGAAGCCAATGACTAAAGCACTAAAGAAGGAACTTCACATTTTGAAACTATAATTGTATATATATCAACAATGTATATGTATGAGCAAAGAAGAAAGATTTATTTATTTATTTTTATCTATTGGAATCGAAAAAGGGGGTTTATAGGGGCTTATATTTCACGCACTTTAATCAAGACCCCTTAGTGAGCTTTATTTATTTGTTACAAATTTAAAAGAGATTTAGAGGTCAAAATCATCTATCCGCATTTTCCATTTTATTATAAATTTTTTTAATTTACGCTTTGCTAAATACGAATAACTTCATATTAAATATAATATTAAGAGATTTAAAAAGATAACTAATGTATGGGGAATAATATATTTTATTTGAGGGGTTAATGAAATTAATGGAAGTAACTACCGAGAGAGCTTGACATTGAATGTTGTGAGGGTGGTTTGTAAAATTTATTAAGGGGAAAAGACTAAATTGAATTATTGCATTTATTAATTTTATAAATTATAATATAATTACATTTTTTTTTAATTGTAAGTTTATAGTTAGTTTTGCATTCTGTACAGATTTTATGTGTTCTAGAGAGGTCATCAAAATGACCAACTTGTTTAAAGCCAACATTACGTACTTCTTGCATAACATTGACTGGGGGACTATTGTTTCGGGAAGTGTATCAACGTGAAAGATCATTATACAAGATATAGCAACCAAACAACATAAAAGTATATCTAACTCAGGATTGTCATGTAAAAACAAAGGTTCGACATCAAAATATATATCTATATATGGTTGGGAACTAAGGATGTATGCAGTAATTCGGATCAAATCCTTAGGATAACATAAAACAAGTATCTTTGTGTGATTACATATTCCAAATATATGAATATATATATATATAGGGGGCAACATAACATCTTCCTACAACCGATTCTAACTATACAACTATCAGAGAACACAATCTTTGGAGATCTAGCCACTCCAACCATATCTCTCCTATTGCTCACAAACTAAGCTTCAAACTTACTCATGATCTTTGTGGTATTCAATATGATCATTACAGTTCAATAGAAGGAAAATAGGGGTTAACTTGGTAAACAAAGCATTATCATATGTATGCAAATATATAGAGGAAATATCATCAATATTTAATTTCCTTTTTAATCCCTATTTTTATTAAAATAGTCCATTTCAGTCTTTACATAGTTAATTATTTTTCAAATTAGTCTTTACCGTTAATTTTAAACAAATTCCCTTTATGATTGAAATTACGTTAAATATGGAAATTACATGACATCTACTTGGTAGTTGGTATAGCTAGCCATTAAAAAGTTGAAGAGTCAAAGGAAAAAGTTGAGGGTGTTTTTTTCACTAATGACATACAATCATCATAATAAGAATCATCAATAGAAGTAATATATTTTAGAGCCTTTTCAACCTAAGGTCAATATTATATTGCATTAATAGTATAAACATACTCTCCAATTCCAAAAAGAATGAAATATTATCGTTATGATTTTCTAAGCATTCAATGTCACAATAGCTATAAGATTTAGATCATAAAGACCTAAAGGGGATTCAAAGAGAACATCAAAATCAACAAGTCACAAAAGATGCTTCAATGCTTCTTCAACATAAGGGTCAAACACTAAGATATTCTCCTCTAATCATTAACATGAGACAATTCATTTTCGTGAATAACTTGTATTCTCTTTAAAGCATCAAGTAATGGAGAACCACTATGACCTAAAGTTGTCAAAATGCAAAACTCTCATACAAGGCTTTTCATAAAGTGATCTATAAGTGTTTTCTCAATACTATTTTTAACAAAATTTAGAGAAGATAACTTTTGATAAAAAAAAATTCTTTAATAGGCAATTTTTTAATAAAGGTTTTCATCATTGAACTGTAAAGGCACCATTACTTAGATCCATACAATGAGATTTGACAATTTTAAAAATTTGCTTCCTTTAGAAGTTGAATTTTATGCTTTAAAAACATTTTTAATTTATTTAAACATCCAACATATAAAATTGAACTTTAACTATTTTTTTACTAAACATTCATCATTTCACACATCATAATCACAACATTTAACATTATACTCATCATACAACATGCTACATTAACCAACTCACATATACACTCATCATTATGTTAACATTTATCAACATACTCAACTTCTAACAATTTTTCTTTCACCCAAGATGATTCATTAAGTGAACATAAGAAAAGGAATTTTTCTTAGCAAACACCCTTTGCTAAGCATTCTTCAAAAAAGGTCCCAAGGTAGAGACCAAAATTGATCACTAAGCCAAAAGGTTTGACTAAAAGGCTCTTCCATCTCAAAGGAAATAATTCTTTGAGTGAGATCTTATTAAGCAAAATAAAATGGCCATCTCATAAAACCCAAAATTCATTAAGCGAACATCCATATTGGAGTGGATTTAAAAAATTGTCTCATAAAGGCTAAAACTCACTTATCCAATCATTTTTGTTGAGTAGAAATTTCAAGGCCTTCCAAAACACTTAACAGCTTGGATAAGCGAATGTCAGTTTGTTAAGCCAAGATTCGTCATGTTCATTAGTTTCACTGAGCGAGACCTATCTCAGTGAGCAAAAATGCAACATTTACACTTGGTCCTTCATCTAATGAAGGCTCACTAAACAAGGATGCCCAAAAACAAACCAGAATACATTCAATGGGACATTGGAATGAGGGGGAGTGGAACTGGGATTTCGGGTGGAGAAGAAACTGGTTAGGGAGGGACTCTGAGGAGTGGGAGAATCTACAAAGGAGACTACAAGGGTTACAATTTGACAGTCATAAAAAGGACTGGAAATGGTTGTTGGGGAATACTCAAGCATATACAGTGAAGTCCACCTATGGTGAATTACTATCTTGGAAAGTTGGGTCAGAAGAGGTACCTTTCCTAAAAGAGTTGTGGTCACTTAAAATCCCCCCTAAGGCAAAAATACTAACATGGAGAATGTACTTTGAGGGCCTACCAACTATAGATAACTTGAAAAAGAGAAACATACAGATAGCTTAGAATGAGGAAAGATGGAGGTTTTGTCTTGAGGAAACAGAAACAACAACACACTTATTTTTTCACTGTAGTAAGGTTGATCAGGTTTGGAAATTATGTTACAAGTGGGCCAATTTTAATATAGTTTTACCAGCAAATGCAATTCAACACTTCCAACAACTTCCAGGACACAGCTACAAAAACAAGCAAGCATCAAGATGAAAAATAATGTGGACGGCAACTGTTTACAATATTTGGATGACAAGAAACAATAATATCTTCAGAGTGCAGGGAGTTGATATACAACAATTGGAGTAGAAAATCATATTTACAACTCGGTCATGGTTGAAAATGGATAAGGATTTTCCATTCAACTATTTGCAATGGGAGTCAGCACCAGGGGTATGCATTATAGAAGATGAAGGATAAAGATAGGAAGACTTACAAGGGGACACCAGGGATGACACAAGAGATAATAATAATCTGAGTGGTTGAGTGGAAAAAAGGGTTCTATACAGGGCATTAAATGATTGGTAGAAAAAAAAATGAGAGTGAATGTCAACTACTCTTATCTTAAGGGCGAATTCGGGATTCACTGTTTTGCTTTGCAATGTTGGGTCAAATTACTTTTAGGTAGGATACTAAGATTTTGTTTGGTTAATTCGTAATTTGGATAGTTAATCTACATTACCCCTAACCAATACCTTGTAAATATGGGATTATGGCACCCCTAGTGCCACAATATAATTTTATTTGGCCATTTCAAAAAAAAAAAAAAAAACAAGGATGCCCAAACCCTTCAACATATAGGGCGAAAGTGACCAAAACAAAAATCTAACTCTTCAATAACTATATTTGCAACATCAAAATACCATTGTCACTACAAGAAAACACATTAGAGTCAGGTTTATTCTTGACTTTAAAGAAAATAAGCTAACTCTTTATTGAATATAGTGAAGAACATGCATCGATTGACTAGACGACACTCTAAAATCATTGTGTCAGTTTTATTAGGCTAACACTTATTACATTCGACTAATGTGACACAAAGATCGTCCCCAAATATATTTTTGTGAAAATAATTTATTCATGAATGATAGAGTCAGTTTTAATTACATTAATTTAATAAATTTAGAATTATATTTATGTTTTGTTAGTTAAGATGACATATACTATTCTAATATATTTTTAGTGTTAACTAAACTGATTCTATGCTTAGTTTAAATTTTATTTTTTTTGTTTAGAGTGAGCTTGTTTGATTTAATCCAATATAATTGTGTTTTTCTTTAACTTGTTTATTTTTGTGTGGGCTTGAATGACACTACATTTTTTTACATAATTTTGCGATTATTGTGTTCTCTTCTCTAACACTATTATTTTTTTAATGAATTTTTAACTGGTTTCTTCTCGTGGGACTCTAATTTAGTGAGACTTGCAGCACTTTTTTTTTTCTCATCTTATAATTGTTTCCTTCTAGTGGCTCCCCTAATAAGAAAGGAACTTATTGCAAGTTGAAGTGTCATGTCAACGGTTAAATAATATGAGTGAGAAGAGGGCTGATGGGTGGAATAAGAGAGTTTTTTTTTTTTTTGGAAGGTGGAGGGGGGAATATGGCCGGGGAAGATGAGTTAGGGTTAGGGAGGGGAGAGGTCAAGCGTGCATAAGAAGAGGAAGAGGGGGGCACAAGGAGACTTTTTAAAATTTGATTTTATGCTTACCTTAAAATTTAGCTAATATGTTTAGTTCATGACAAATTTTTTTATGTACTAAAAAAAAAAAGTCAATTTAGCCACCAAATTTAGCGTCTGAGTATTTAGCGTCTGAGTATTTAAAGTTAATTTAGTGACCGAATTAGCGATCGAATATTTTCAGTAGCAATTTATCGGATGCTAATTCCGTCAATATTCGGTTTATAAATTCCATAT